AAAACCTGACCACCAGCTCCAAAGCAGAACTGAACCCCTCTATGGCCCCCCAGGAAACATCACTGTACTCTCTTTTTGAAGGGACTCCGTGGTCTCCATCACTTCCTGCCAGTTCAGGTATTGTCTAATTTTTAAATTATTGATCTTGAATTTCCTGTACATGCAAATCGATTAATTGAGTTGGTATGATTTTGTCATTATACTTTTTTTTTTTTTTTTTTAACGTAACATCTGTTTGAAAATAGGGGGGAAAACCTGATGAGCGGTTTCACATAATACCAGCCCACTAAAGATGCTTTTCCACATTTTCAGTGACCCACAGAGCTGTAAGGGAGATAACCTGGCCTGTGTCTTCTTGTCAGCTGTGTTCAGGTTCAGCAGTTTTGTTTTTATAGGTGTTCATTCTTTGCAGGAAAAAAAATAATGTTTTTTAAATAGAGATTTTTTTAACCTCTATTTTATAAATGGAGTCTAATTTAAATAGTAATTGTTAATATTAGGGAGTCCTATTTCTGACAGAGAAGACCAATAGATACTTCTCTGAGAAGATACACCGAAGTGTGCTCAACAAACTGTCTATTGTTTGGTTTTGATTTTTGTTCTAAGGCAAGGAATGTGCAATAAGACAAAATAGTGCCTCTGGCAGATTCCCTTTGGTCTCTCATTTTTTGCCTTTCCCCCAGTGGTCACTTTTAGTAGAATTTACATGGTAAGATCTCTAAGAAACTTTAGTTTTGGGTATGTTTGTGATACATCGTACCTACTTGATGTCCTATGTTGTTGTTGTTTAATAGATCATTCAACACCAGCCAGCCAGTCTCCTCATTCCTCTAATCCAAGCAGCCTGCCAAGCTCCCCTCCAACACACAACCATAATTCTGTTCCATTCTCCAATTTTGGACCCATTGGGACTCCAGATAACAGGGATAGGAGACCTGCAGATCGGTGGAAAACTGATAAGCCAGGTGAGACCCTGACTTCACTGCTGAGCCAAGAGAGAAATAGCTGACTCAGTCCTTCCCTGACATCTGGCACTGATAGAATAATTATTCATGAATTTTTCTTCTTTCTTTCCATCCCCTAGCCATGGGTGGGTTTGGCGTTGACTATCTCTCAGCAACATCCTCCTCTGAGAGCAGCTGGCATCAGGCCAGCACTCCCAGTGGCACCTGGACAGGCCACGGCCCCTCCATGGAGGATTCCTCTGCCGTCCTCATGGAAAGCCTAAAGGTGAGTGGTTAAGAAAATCCTGATTCGTCTTTGGAATGTTTGATATAAGGTTTTTCTGATCAAGTATAAGAAGGGTAGCAAATTAAAAAATAATTTCTCCTAAAATCTTACAGATTCTGTGGTGATGAGTTTTAGTGAAAAAGGAAAATTCCTAAAAAAAAAAACAGTTTTCTTGGATTAAAATCATCTTGATGGGAACTAGCTCGTATTAACAAGAGTCATACAATGACTTTTTCTACTAGCTGGATTTTTTTTTTTTTTTTAAGGGATGTGGTTTGCAGCCTTTACATTTGGCTGGGGTTGAGAAACAAATTTTTAGACAACCAGGCATTTGACCTCTGCTGACAAGCCCCGGGCTGTTTTTCAGTCTATCTGGTCCAGTTCCATGATGCACCCTGGACCTTCCGCTCTGGAGCAACTGCTGATGCAGCAGAAGCAGAAACAGCAGCGGGGACAAGGCACCATGAACCCTCCACACTGAGGCCACAGTGGTAACCTGGGAATGAAGGCTCCATAAACCATGGCATGTTGGGTTTGCAGGACTGGCCACACAGTCCCTGCAGGTGGCAGCCCTCTTTTCTGTTCCTTGCTGTCGAGAGGGTGTAAGTGTTCCACCAGCCCGCTGAGTGTGCACGACATGTCCGCAGTGCAACAAAAAGAAAACCCATCAGGAACTCTCCGTCCCCCCGGGGCCTTCCGGAGGGAGAGAGGAACTGCTGTTTGTCTCACTCAGTTACCTGACATCACCACCTCTCACCTTCTCCATTGTGCATGTCCCCAGCCACATGGGAAGTGAAAGCTGAGGAGGGAAAGCAGATGGGAGAAGTCAAGGGGAACTTCTCAGTCCTTTTTTTCCTCTCTGGGGAATAAAATAGGAATCCATTAATGATTGCTTTGCTGACTGAGAATGTAGTTGAAATTATTCCTAAACATCTTTTATTATTGTTATTGCTCTCAGTAGTAAAATATCACACTGAATTCTTCCATACACAGACGTGCTGCTTCTAGTCAGTGTGCAGCAAGGAGAGCCCCGCCCACTGTTCCTGAGAGAGGTTGGTGGTGACAGGACGGGGAAACTGACCTCTCAGCCAGTGGAAGTGTTCATGAGGGAAAGGACAAGGCCTCACCCTTCGCTCATAAGGTTCTGGTAGGGCCTCCTCTGGCCTGGATACTCAGCGGCAAATGCCCTTCACTCTGTAGGTGCTCGAGCCCATCGAGGATGCAGTGTGGGTGGTGTGCTGGGCTGGACTAGCAGATGAGTGCTGTAGGATTTAAAATTAATGTTTTTGATTCCTGTATATTTTACAGTAGCATAGCACGCAGTCTCACAGAAGGCAGGCTGGCCTTTCATGGCCTGACACATTTTAATAGGTAGAAGCTTTCAGTGTGGTTTATTTTGTTTGGTTGGTTTTTGTGCCCCATCCTACCTCCCTCCGCCTGTCCCTCCCGCCTTTCCCTTTTTACTCTATGCTGTATGCTAGTAATTGTTTTTATTCTTAATGTGTGCAACATCTGGCCAAGAAGCAACAGCATGGGGTCCAGCGGTTGGGGCCCATAAGACAGTCTGAAGAGGAAGGAAACAACCGCGTCTGCAGGGCCCACAGAGGGGCTAGGCCCCTACCCAGCTGCAGCCTCCCAGCCTCCGCTTTCAGAGTGAAATTCAAGGCAACACGAACACGAGTGCATTGTGCACGAAGAAAACACAACAAAGTCCATTCTGGAAATGCGAAAGGAAAATAAACTTTCGTTTGATATTTATTGGAAGGAAAGAGGACTGAAAATTTTCTTGTGTAAAAACAGAAGGACAGCATTTCTGTTAGTCATTTCCTGGAAAAGTAATATTTTAAGGGGAAATTATGGAAACAATCTAAATGTCCAATTGCTGTGCTAGTGGTAGGGTTTCTTTTCTGGGAGGTCTCGTGTGTGTGTGTGTGTGTGTGTGTGTGTGTGTGTGTGTGCTGGTGTGTGCACGCCCACCTGCTCCCCGGGGGAGAGGTGGTGTGTCTGAGCGTGTGGAGCTAGTGTGCTACTTGAGAGCTGGAAAACAGCTGCCGAGCAAAGCACATCCAGGAGCCCCGGTGTCACTGGAGTCTGGGAACCCCAGCAATGAAAAGGGGTGAGATTAATGCGCATTGCTCTTCCGAGAGAGTGGTTGGAGGCCTGTGTGCTTACATGTGCTTACATGATTGCTCTTTCAGTTTGACTTGGTGTTTGGGTTTTTTTTTTTTTAAAGGTCTGAAAGGGTGAAGCCCGCCAAACCCGATGGCAATATGAAACCCTTTGTGCTACTCCCCAGCCCCTCCTTCTGTCCACCTTTCTCCTGCCTTCCTCCCCAGCCTCCTTCCCGGTCACCTCCGCCCACTTTGTGTGTTTGAACTCTGCATTCAGGCAGCTGCAACATTCCAGTGTGTGAACTGTCACTGATGCTTGCACCCTAGACAAGCGAACCAGGTTCACCCCTCCCAGCACCCGAGTCCCACCTACAGCCCATTTCTGCATGAGAATTTGGTGTTTGGAATGTTTTCTGACTCTTGAGGCGGGTTCCTCGCCTTATCATTCTCAATGTGGAGTAATGAGGAGGGAGAGGAGAATCTTCATCAGAAATTGGTTTTGTGTAGTAAACTTCCTTTTGTGTTTTCTTTTTTGTTGTGTTTTGTTTTGTTTTGTTTTGTTTTGGGTCTGTCTGTGCAAGACCTGCAGCTGCTGAATCAGCTTTGCCTTTAATTAAACCATGTTCTCTCCAACCAGATCTGTGTATAGATTCTTCTTTATCCTACAAGAAAATCCAACTTAAAAAAAGCAAGAATTTAAACTACTCACACGCCATCTAGAGGTCAGAAACAAATATTCTTTAAGATTATTTTTGCTTTTAGTAGCATTCCAAACTATTGTGTATTCCAGTGGAAGGGATGGTAGAAAGAAGCTGATTGGCAAAATTTTTTAATAAATAAAGAGTGGCTCGTGCAGAGGAGTTAACAATCTACCATTTTTATGCCTATTCTTGATAAGACAATTCCGTTTATCATTTTTGTCTATGAAATTCACTAAGTCTAATTATCAGTAATAACTATCGTTCTTAGCTTTGGAGTTGGATTTCTTTTGAGTTATGTCCAGATTTCTAGGGTAGCCTGCCGGGCCTTGGGCAGAGTGCCATAGCTGACTTGTCTGTGTGTTCATACCCCAGTAGGCCTTTCACCTAGGTGTTGATTCCTACATAACACACTGTATTCCTCACTGCTTTTCGTTAACACCTACACACTTGAAAATTGTTAACAAAGCCAAAATTGTTAACAAGAAACAGGGAGGGAGGAGAATTTACATCAGGTCCTTAAGGTCTTTGGAATCTTTCACGCATGTTAACACTGAAAAACCATGCCATTTGTGTAAATGCTAGCCAAAATCAAGCCATTGCAGTCCGTCGTGCATTTTAGTACATATTACAAACTGCTCACCAACTGGATATGTGGAGCTTGACTTCTTTTCAGTGTTGTTAGTGGCACATATTCGCATTGAATTCCTAACTTCTCCCTCTGAAAGGCATGAATGGATGTAATTCTATTATTTTAATTCTCTATGGAATTGAAAGCTATATTTCATGGGAACCTAACTGAGCCTACTTTAGCCTGGGTTCTGTTTCAGCAATGTGACTTTTACTGAGAAAAGAAAAGTTTTGTGTCTGCCTTCTGAATTACCTGGAAGATTATTTCAGACCTTAGGAGTTTTGCTAGTATGGCACAGGAGTAGGGGTTATTTACTCTTAGTTCCTGACCCTGGACTCTGGGTGTCTTGTTTATGAGTTTTTTATTGAGGTACCAAACATACACAGAAGCGCACCAGTCACAAGTGTTCAATTCCATGAATTTTCATAAAGTAGACAAACCAGGGTAGCCAGCACTTACCAAGAAACAGGTATCAGAAGACCCTCTAGTGCCCTTCCAGATTCCAGATACTTCTTTCACCCTACTCCTCCACCCTTAGGGTAATCATCCTAAATTCTCACATCAGTGTGAAATTTTAACAGGGAAAAAAGTAATAGTCAACACTTCCAAATAATGTCTGTACAGTACAGGGTACTGCACTGCAGACATGTGCGCAGTCTTGCCAATGATAGTACTACTTTTCTTCAGCTTAGCAGGTTGTGAAACATCCTAGATCCCTTGAGGAGCACTTTCCAAGTATGCAGTTGCACGTTCTCCAACAAAAGCTTTGGGGAAAATGCCAACCTTGCCATTGCACTCTCCTTCCAGCCATTCTTCATTCACTGATGAAAGGAAAAGTATTGGTTGATTTCTAAAACAAGCACAGAAAATCACTCCACATGGCAACCCCAGTTGTGACAACAGGGAAAAGTGAGTTGAGGTAAGAGTGAACATGGAACTTGGCCATCTAATTACTTCTTATACACGACAATGGAATGCAGAAGAATGAATTACATTTTTTTAAGTTAACAGAAAAAAGACAAAGGTTTCTTTTAACAACTTTGTGCTTTGTTGGGCATCTTTGTGTTTGACTATAGGAAACATACATGCCGTTGGCTAGATATATTAATAATGTTCACTAGTGAATGATCAAAGGATTGGGAATTGGAGCTAATGATGGGTTTAGTCCACTTTCATGAAATACGAAGACTTACAGCTTCTATTTTGAGCCTGTAGTAAGTGCAGGCTTTGTACCAGACTCTATTCAGTCCTCAGGATGACTCCATTGTAGATGTTGTCCCCAGCTTACTAAGAAAAGGACGACCCAGACAAACAGTTTGAGGCAGCAAATACTGGACAGCCTAGGTATCGCCTCCAATAACCGAATCCCATCTCCCACACCACAAAGCCAACGCTTTGGATATAAGACATGTAGAACATGTAAGACATGTTCATGTTTGGATGTAAGACATGTAGATCACATTTGCGCACTGGTGCTTGGGTCCCATACCCCAGAAATGCTTGAAATAGTGTTGGGGGTGGCTGGCCATCTGAATTTTCCCCTAAAGTTCCTCCAGGTAACTAATTGCAGACCACTGCCAGTGTCCTAGTCATGGGCTGGAAGCATTTGTCTGTCTCAGGTCCCAGGAGTGTATGAGAAATGCACACTTGTAGGCTCCACCCCAAACCTGAGTCGAGTTTATAAAAGTTAATATACAAAAACCTTAAGTGAGATGAGGAGGCTCAAAGAGATTTCTCACCCACATGTAAGGCTATGCACACTACAGAATCCAACCCAAGAGATGCCTTTGTGGGAAGCAAGGCTGCTTTGCAGCCCCAGCAACTACTTAGCCAGTAAGAGTATGAAAATTTGCTGGGTTTTATTCTGGAGAAGTTTGCACTGGACTCCTTGAGACCATTCTTTCGAACTGCTTTTTGTTTTTAAAACATTTTTTGCAGGGGAAATGACCCAACTACTTACTAGTGGTGGTCAACTGAATCTCCAAGTACACGTTAAGGTTTGAGAACGAGATAATTACAACTGAACTCACACCAGTGCTCAGCAAGTATTGTTTATGCTGAGTTGTTTTCTATTTAAGCGTTGAAGTTTCAGGATATTAGATGGGTAACTTCCTGAGTTAAATCCACTTAGACTTTCATATATATCATAGTACTCCACCTCACCAACTCTATCTAGAAGGTTATTCTGTGTGTGCTCTTATTTTTATATCATTCCCACCCCCAAATAAGCTCTGGACAAGTTAGCTAGCTTGTGGATACTGACATTCAGAAAATGGCACTGGGAGTTACTAAACCCCGTTCTTACCACTGAGCTTCCATTCTCCCTTGGGGAGGTGCACTGGCCATGCGCTCTGCCTCTGTCTTTCATTACTCATGTTTTGAGTAAATTGCCACACACTTGTATATTCCCTACCTGTAACCTTTTAAATTAAAATTCAATCTGGGTTTTCTGCTATCAGTGGTAATAGTATTCACTCCTGTCTATTTGCTCATCTACAACTTGAGGTACAATAGTGCTGCTCAGCTCGGTCAGTAGACCAACATCACCAGGAAGTTTATTAGAAATGCAAATTGGTGGGCACACCCTAGACTTCACTCAGGATCTCAGAGAGGGACCAGCGAATTTGATTTCACAAATTGTAAATGATGTTTGGGCAATACTCGAGTCTGAGCCACGAAGAGCTCTCTCCTTATGATTTCAACTATTAATGTGTCTGATTTCCTAACAGAATCAGTAATCACTAGAAATGGCAATTTAGAACAGCTGCTTTTAAAACAAAATTTACCCCATTTTTCACTCATTTTTGTGAAGTATGTCAAGAACACAGTTTGCAGAAGATAAGTATCATGTGGCTTAGTGCACAGGGGAATGAGACTCCATCGCTTCCAGAATATTGACCTCTTTAATAATCAGAATGCTATTCTAGGCTGCCATTTGTTGCTTCTTTGTACTCAGCAGCAGATGGAAGATTGAGCACTCACTTTTGCTCCATCTAGCAGAAAGCCAGGAATGAGACTAAAACCACTTGCTACAGCTTGGTTCGCAGGTTATTAGTTTGTTCTCTTCCCTTGAATTTATTTCTGTGAATTAGTTTTTGTCACCCAGGAGTAGCACTTACCTATTGATATAACCTGGATTACATTGCCTTCCAGAAAGTCTAGGTCTTCTGGCTGAGTAGCCTCATAATTGAAGAGAGCTACTACTTGGCTCCCTTCCTTAAACTGATCTTCTGTTGTCTGGTTATTAACATCAGATTTTTCATTTTCCTTGGGTTCATCTGGAAAACCTTGGTCACCCTGAAATACAATAATAAAGGGCCTGTTAATTTTCCTGACCAGTGGACTTTGAACTTCACTAAAGGAAGTGGTAAAATGTCAATATAGCACCAGGATACAAACTCCTAAAGCCAAGTTTGTGATCAGGCCCAGCATGTATTCCTTAAACTAAGAAATCCTGGCATCCTATCTATCTATAAAAAAGTGGAGAAAGGCACTGTTGTTACTTTCTTCAGATGGAGAAACAAGTAAGAGACTAAAACTTGCTTCCTCTTCCAATCTTAACTACCCATAAGTTGGACCCCAGGTCAAGCATGGTTTCTTACTTCCAAACCCAGCCGCCTTTCCCCAGCACCCACGACATGAGGGACCTTGTTAGAAATGTATGAGGGTTTGGAAAAGGACTACTTCTCCTTGGTGGGGGCGGGGGAGGGGGTGGCCTAGCCAGCCTGGAAGAGCTTTCCTAGCATGTTGATCTCCATGGTCTCCATCAGAAACTCCCTGAGGTGAGGTCCAAGAATCTATTTCAACAAGTCTTCTTGATATTTTTGGTGTTGGATAATGTTTGAGGGGCCCCATGCAGTGCTGTACTGTCTTTCTAAAGCTGTATTAAAGGTCTTGTTTTCTCTAATATGTGTTGGTATGCCTCTCTGTCACCAGGATGGCCATTTTCTACTCACAGATGTTGAAAAAGAAGAAGGAGGTAGTTTGTAAAGATGTATATCATTAGAACTTAAATCAACATCCTGGTGATTGGCTGCCTGCTATTATGAATATTAACAAGTTCTAGTTTGCTATTGCTATTTGCTCCAATCCTGGCAGGTTCTCTACTGAAAGGCACTGTACTGCAGTGGGAATGGCCCAAAGAAGTCCAAAGACTTGGTTTGTACCCCAGGTCCCCAGCTCCCCAGCTCCCCAGCTCCCTGGGTGTGTGTCCCTGAGTAAAACCCCATCCGACTCTCTTCCCTCACCTGAAATGAAGGCTAGAAGAATTAAATGAGATGACATTAATGGTTTACATTTATTGAACACTTACTTTATGACCGTATGATTCAAAATATAAGTAATTTAAACCTGGATAAAGATGGGTTCCTGCATAGTTGATACTTCTAAGATGTCAGATCATTTCCCTTTCCTTCTTCAGTAAGTGAATGAGCACAACCTGACTTGTTGATGCCAAGAGTAAGCGATAGTGATAAAGACCATTCCAGAACGACCTCTGAGGCAGGGCTGAGTTCCCGAAAGACTATTGGTGGTTTGGGGTAGGTCAGCCATATACAGCCAGATAGCCGCTAAATAGGACCAAAATTAACAATTGAAAACAATCAAAACAAAGAACCCTTTAAGTGAAGTCATTCACTTGTAGAACAGAACCCTTTGTAGGCAGAACCCTTTCCAGACTATATTGTAGGGACTGGTGCAAAGACAGATTATTGGAAATCCTGGTGTGACCCTGTAGATGCTCATGGGGCCCCTGGCCCTGGCACTTGTGCCTTCACCTCCCACGTCAACCTGAGGCACCAGGTGTCTTTGCTCCAGTGGTTCCATTCCCTGAATGTGGTTTTTGAACTCTTAGATTCAAAATATAGAGTCCATTCCAGGATCTTCTACCACCTCCATCTTTAATTCTTCCTCTCCTACTCTTTTTTTTCCTCCCCCGCAACAAACATTTGATTTGCGTGAGAATCTCCCAAGATTCTCAGGGCCTGTTAATTTTCCTGACCAGCAAACTTTGAGCTTCACTAAAGGAAGTAGTAAAATGTCAATATAGCACCAGGATACAAACTCCTAAAGCCAAGTTTGTGACCCTTCTCTAATTAAGCAGAATCTCCTGCCCACTTTGAGACTGAAGGCTTGGTAGGGGAGAATTCTAGCGCTGAACCCCCAATGCAGGGAGGAGGGTTTGGAAGAGACCTTACTTCCCCCTGGGGGTGATGGCCTAGCCACCTGGAAGAGCTTTCCTGGGATGGTGATCTACATGGTCTCCAAGCTCACTTGTAGTGACTATTTTGGTGAAAAATAGTCACCAAAGAATTCACAAAGTATTTATTATTTCACTTTATGCCCCCTAGACTGCTATAACTCAGATGTTCAGCCCAAAAGTGCTAATGCAAGAAGACGTCGGTAAAGAGGAAGAGCTGAAAGCATCACAGAAACCCCAGCTAATGACAATTTGGTCAGTGGAGCCTGTGGTCTTAATCACTTTGTGTCCAGGACTCTGGATGGGAGCTGGTTTCTGAAAGGAAGTCCTCAGGCAGCGTTCCTGAGCCCCAGCCTTGTTGCTGTGCCTCACAGACCATCAGCCCAAAGCAACACCTGACCTCATTCCCCTTCCCGCTCAAGCCCTGTTCCCTTTCCGGCCTCGCCTCCCGCACACCACTCTCCCCGCATGGTGGCCTTGAACCCTGAGCCCTTCACCCACTAATCTGAAGTCTGGCCTGTGCTCTCCTAGAAGAGGTGACCTAACCTCTACCTCACACTTTTTTTTTAAAGGTTTATTTATGCATACAAGAACTGAGGTACAGACCAGAGGTGGGGGGGGGATGCAGTGAGAGGATTCACCAGAGACAGAGTGGGAAACAGAACAGGCAGACTGACTGAAATACACTGCTGAGGGGAGCAGCGTCAAGACAGGAGAGGGCTGCTCGCCATGTGGGTTGCTCCCTGGCTGGCTAGGGATCAAACTCGTGCTGCAGAGGCTGAGGACAGTGTCACAGTGCGGTGCTTAACCCCTTGCACCACCAGGGAGGCCCTACCTTGCACATTTCTCTTTTTTTTTTTTAATTTTATTTTTATATTCCCCATACAATTGCAAGCCCCTTATTTTGACCCCAATCCCTCCTCCCCACCCCCCCATAGTGTGTCTCTGGTTCACAGTTGTTTGTTGATTTTGATTTTTTCTTTCTTATACTTATTCTTTTTCCTGGTCCCTTATTTAGGTTTTCTAGATTCCTGCTATGAGTGAGACCATCCAGTGTTTTTCTTCTTCTTTCTGGCTTATTTCGCTGAGCATGATGCCTTCCAGCTCCATCCATGTTGCTGCAAACTGCATGTGTTTATCTTTTTTGAATGCTGAGTAATATTCCATGGTGTATATGTACCACATCTTCTTGATCCAGTCATCTATTTTTGGGCATTTGGGCTGTTTCCAAAGCTTAGCTATTGTAAATAGTGCTGCTATAAACATAGGGGTGCAGGTGTCCTTTGGAATTGATGTTTCTGTGACCTTTGGGTAAATACCTAGGAGTGGAATTGCTGGATCATATGGAAGCTCTGTGTTTAGTAGGTCCAGAAATCTCCACACAGCTCTCCACAGTGGTTGGACCAGTGTGCACTCCCACCAACAGTGTAAAAGAGTTCCTTTTTCTCCACACCCTCGCCAACATTTGTTGTTGCTAGTGTTTTTAATTATGTGCCATTCTCACTGGTGTGAGATGGTATCTCATGGTAGTTTTGATTTGCATTTCCCTGATTGCAAGGGATGTTGAACATTTTTTCATATGTCTGTTGGCCATTTGCATTTCCTCTCTGGAGAAGTTTCTTTTTAGCTCTTCTGCCCATTTTTTGACGGGATTATTTTCTTTGTTGTTGCTGAGTCTCATCAGCTCTTTGCAGATTTTTGTGATCAGTCCTTTCTCATTAGTGTTGTGTGCAAAAATGTTCTCCCAGTCGGTGGGGTTTCTCTTTGTTTTGGTTATTGTCTCTTTTGCTGTGCAGAAGCTCTTTAATTTGATGTAGTCCCAGCTGTTGATCTTTGCCTTCACTATCACTGCTTAGGGTGATGTGTCTGTAAAGATGTCTTTGAGGTGCATGTCATGTAGTGTTTCGCCTATATTTCCTTCTATATATTTTATGGTTTCAGGTCTTATGTCTAGTTCTTTAATCCATTTTGAGTTGGTTTTTGTGCATGGAGTGAGGTAGAAGAAGAAGTGAGGTAGAAGGTGAAGAATGACGGAATTCAAGTTCAAGCTATGACTTTGTGAATGGCCAATGTGTGGGTCCTGAGAAAAGGTTTAGAAGAATCCAGCACTTCTTTGATATCAAGCTGCTCTGAGCATAGACAGATGTAGTAGGCTCATACAAAGTGGTACATACAAAGGCTTTGCTGGACCTCACTGCAGCAAAAGGGCCAATTATTATAAAGAACTATTTCCATATGCTGTGAAAGTAGCATTTTTTTTTTAATTAGTACAGAGTCTGTAGCCTAGGGGTTAAGTCTCAGCACTATCATTCACTGAGGCATGAGTTTGATCCCCAGCCAGTTTGCTACCCCCATGGCACAGCAGACCTCTCCTGTCTTGCCTGCTACTTCCCTCAGCAGTGTATTTCAGTAAATCTGCCTGTTCTGCTCCCCACTCTGTCTCTGGTGAATCCTCTCACCCCCCCACCCTGAACACCTCTGGCCTACACCCCAGTTCTTCTATGCAAAAACAAAAGAAAACAAATAATAATAAATAAAATTAGTACATTTGGAATCAAAGCAGAAGTTTTGGAACGCAGAAGAAGCCACAGTTCATATAGGGGAGATTAAGTGGGCTCTGTTGCTCCCTTGGCAAGCCTTTTCTGATGACCTTGCTGATAGTAGCAAACCGTCAGATAATTCAGTGGAGCAGCAGATGGAAGGGCTCAGAGCTTTCTTGGGGGCTGCTCTTCTCTTGTAGAAACCCTCTCCTGGTTTCAGCTGGGTGAGGGTGCAGACTAAAGGGAGGCAGGGTTGCCACTAGTTACCACCATGTCCTTGACACCACACATGGCACCTGGCACACAGAAGGTGCTCAATACGTGCGGAGATGTTGAGGAAGAGGCTTGCTAGAAACATGACCTCAGGCGCCCTGGGGATCACTGCACTCACCACGGTGTACTCACACCACAGAGTCAGGCAGTAGTTTTTCACATGCTCCCAAGCATCCTTCATGTTCTCTGAAAGGGGGACCAGCTTATTGCTGTCTCGAGATCGATAGCTGGGTGGGAATAATGAGAAAGAACCAAGTCAGAGAATAGCAACTCCAAACCACCCTCTCCTCCTGGAGGTCTCAGCTGCACACACCCTGCACGGAGCTCACCTGAGCTGAGTGTGTTCTGGCAAGAGCTGCAGTTTCTTAGACACTGCGTCGAGGACCTGGCTATAGGGCAGCCCCAGCTGCGTCTCCAGGATCACCGTGTACTTATAATGCACCTTGAGGGTGTAGGGCATGGGAACGCTGAGCTGTACCTCCTGAGGGGGCGGGGAAGCAAAGGTTACTCAGGAGTGCCTGAGGTCTCCACTTTGGAGCATCCTGAGTCACTGTAGTGGCCTGGGGTGGCATGGCAAGCACTCTGTGTATCAGGGGAGAAGCCAGCAGGGCACACGAAGCATCTTCAGATGTCCTGCAGCCCAGCTCTTGCTAGGCGAGGAATTCCCACTGGGTGAGATCTAGCCCAGCAGCTATAGACAGGAAGCATGTGGCTGGGGGTAGGGGAGACTGTTGAGGGGGTTCTCAGCCCATGGAGTATGTGTGTGGAAGCAACTGGCTCTGCCATCCTTTGGGATTCACCCATCCAGAGGGGCATGCCGTGGTGAATGGCCCACCCTTTGCTACTACTTGAAATTGTTGAAGGAAAAAAACCATTACCTTGGGCTCTTCTTTCTCGTTCTGACCTAAAATGGGCACAGGAAGGAGTAAAACAAAAGATGGTGAATGAACGCTCTTGGCCAGCCCCTGCCATTCACAGAACCGAACCTCTTGGAACAGGCACTGAACTCTCCCCCTTTTGTCTCTGGACTGGTTATTAATCTCAAACAGTGGGGTAAATCCTACTCTGGGGAAGATGTGCAAGGCCAAGCTGTGAATGTATCAACAAACCCAGTTTCTAAGGAGCACAGAGTTCATGATCACAGGTCATCAGACCACCACCCACCCAAGGGAACAGCCGGGATCCCCGGAGCAGTCTCACCAGTGACCTTGGAAGCACCACAAAGCAGACTGTGTGAGTGAGCCAGGGGGCACGAGAAGAAACCAACCACATATTTTACCCCTGCCCTTTGTTTTTGTGTCTTTTCTAACGTGCTTAATGCATGAATCTCGCAGCAGGCAGCAGCTCCCATGGGAGAAGTATGCATAAGGGTGTTCACTCTAGGGGTACGTGATCAAAAGAGACGACTGCTCCCAAACAAAGTTGACCACTACAATCACCACCTAGGGCTACAGATACTCAAGCTCACTCCAGTCCTAAGCAGTTAGAATCAAAAGCCTGTGAATCTATATTCTTAAAGTCTCCCTAAGTTGTATTCTGCTCCCTCAGCCCATCCTTGTTCTTGGGGGAGGTGTGCAGAGGGTCAGTGAGTTTTATGAATCCTGCTTTCAAGTGGCTCAGACATTGGAAGAAAAATGTATATGGTGAAAAGGGCGCAAGACAAGTACATGGGGCAAAATGTGAACAGTAGGTGAACTTAAGTGAGAGGTATCAAGTGTTCATTGTACCACATTTTCAACTTTCAATTTTTCTGTAGGCTTGACATTTTTCAAAAATTTAAAAATGGGAGTGGGGAGCAGCCCCAGGGTTCTGATGACCAGGTGAGCGACGGTCATCAATCTGGAATCTGGACAAACCACCTCTTCATGCATCTCTGCCTAACGCGTGTATTCAAACGCCCTGAAATGGCATTGGCGTCAGGAGCCCATCACGCCCCAAAGCCGACCTCTCCTTCACAAACACCCCGGGTTCTGTGTCTGTCCCTCAGGACTCTGCAGGCACAGTGGCTTCTTTTCCAGGTAGGATTCCCCAGACGTTTGAAAAGAGCCACTCCACCCCCCCCCACCCCCCCCAGGCAAACATGCAAATACGTCAACCTTTCCTTCTGGCATGCGATTCAGTGTTTAATGATGGCGGGGGTTGGTGACTATTGAGTCTGGAAGCACACATACTCTCCTGAGTCACCAACACACTCACCCACGCCCCCCTTTACCCAGGCCACATTCTCGTCGGTCCATGTTCTCCCATGTTCGCACAAGATCACATACACACAAGCCCGCCCATGTTCGCACAAGTCCTTGAGTGTGCTGGAGCAGGGTGAAAGAAAGGTTCTCTATTTCATATGTCCTGAGTGTGTGGTGCAGGAAAGATGGGTTCTACGGTGGGGTGGTCCCAAGTAGAGGGAAAAACAGGTAGTAGAAACCAGAATCCCCTGCATGGCTGGAGAAGTATTCTCTGCCAGGAAGCAGCCCCAGCATGCCTGCCCCTGCCTGGTATGTGGCTCCAGGAACACTAACCTGATGACAACGGGGGTCTCCCAGGGGCGCTGGAACTGGGAGGGGCTGGGACGTCAGACTCCAGAAAGGTTTCCTGGAGGGGACAGAGGAGATGATCAGAATCAACACTCAGACAAAGTTCTTAGCAGGAAGAGGAGGGGAACTGAGGGGAGACACTAGAGTCGCATAGGAAGGAGTCACATGAAAATGACTTCCTGAAAGTTGGGGTGATGCTGAGGAGACTAAATACTGATTAAAGGGAGAGGCATGGTTGGCCTAATGAGAAAAGAAATCACAGTAGAAATAAAAATCCTAGCCCCCACCTAGTAGCCTTTATGACTTAGTCACCCCTTTCAGCCACATTGGACATTGGCTGGCCTGGATGGAGGGGTCTTCTGTACCCTCTAATTCCACATCTTGTCCCTTCAAAGGAAAACTTCTCATATGTGTAGAATTTAAAACTTTCAAGTCATCTGGATCAGTGACTCTGAGCAGTGAGGGCCAGGCCCACATACAGGACACAGACCACACAACCCACAGCCGGGCTCTGCCACTGTCAGAGCCAACACTGGCAGCCAGACTGGCTGAAGGCAGGCCGTTGAGGGGTGATGGCCAGCGGGGGTGGAGGGTGGCAGTTTCAGGCGCTGGGGCTGCCCAGGCCTACTCAGATCTGCTAGAGCAGCACTCTCTCTCCCTCCACTCCCTCAATGGCATTTCACCAGCCAACATCTCAAATCTTCTTCTCCCATGGAAGTGGACACACCCAGGAAAACCTAACCTCCATAAACGATGGGTTTGGGGTTCCACCTTGACCAGGAGGAATCACACAGGTGGGTGGACCCAACAGGTCCACCGCTCTACCCAGCTGGGGTTTTCCTTTCTCCCAGGGGGCAGCTCTGGGCAGCCAGTGACAACTAAAGACCAACTCAACACCACTCAGGATCACTCTTCAGTGATCACAACTGCACCTCTTTCCCTCTGCCCAGTCCCCCACCCCCAAGAGGTCAGGAGATGGTGGGGGAAGGGTCAGACCTTTGTACTATGTTACCTGGGGCTGCTGTTGAGGATGGATCCGTAGCTCCACCGGCTCGAGGTAGTTACAGGGAACAAGCCCCTTCTGCAGCGCAATATCACAGCGTCAGAACAAGGAAGCAGAAGCCCCGTGAGAAGCCACAGCAGAGCAGCACAGGCGCGGGAAGGAAGGGCAGACAGAAGCAAGAACTTAGCTATCTGCACATAAGGTCCCCCGCACGGGCTCTGCAGCAGCACTGCCACGAGCTGCCAGGGCCCAAGCCCCACAGCCTCCCCCCTGCCCCGCCCCCACCCCTGGCCCGGGCTCCGAGTACCTGCCCGTTGAACATGACCGTAGCCCAGTTGTCGTTGCTCTTCTTCAACACGAAGACGATGTTCCCTGGCATGACCTGGAGCTCCTCTTGGGTCTTAGGCACAAACCCAAAGAGCACTCGATGGGCTTCTCCCTCCAGAGCCCTGCGGGGTGGGTAGGAGGGAGACACCATGACCTGCCAGTGTCCAGGTTGGACCCCATGCCCTCCCAGCGCCTCGGGAAGCCACAGGGGACCAGGAGCCAGAGAACTCCCCCAGGCTCCCTCCACCACCACGTCTCATGGCCAGTGTGACCCCGAGCAGGCTGCTGGTAGGGCTCCCCAGGGGGCTAGGCTGCCTGTGAACCTGCTCCACGGTCACAGCGCAGGGAGCCGCGAACAAAGGAAACACTGGATAACCAGGCCTTGCCATCCTGGCCTCCCTTCACTTCTAGAAGGAAGGCTCCTGTGCTTGGCCGGCTCCCAAGTCCCAGCTGGGCTGATCTGGATCGTGGCAAGGGGAACAGCCCCAGGTGGGAGACAGTGAGAGCCACTTAGGGAGAGCAGGTGTTGGAGAGGGGGAGAAACCCAAGCCCAGTGGTCCAGGCACACCTGGGAGGGGGTGAGGGGCAGGAGTCCGGGGAAGTGTGGAGGCTCTGAGGCTGCCTGTCTGTGGGTGCTGCACTGGCATTTCCCTTCACCATTTCCAGACCCACTTTGCCCTTCAGGGCCCTGGGGCTCGGCTCTGCCGGGAATGTGTGGCTGGCTTCAAGACTGCCTGATATATTGGGGTTCCAAGGCTCCCTCACTCTCCCTGGGCTTGGGGTTCCCTCTTGCTGACCCCCAGCCCTCCTTTTAGTTTCCAGCTTACAGACTCCTTGGCAAAGAGTTTCAGAATGAGCCAATCCAGCCCCTCATTGTTACAGTTGCGCTGGAACGTTCACACTTTTCCATGACATTTTTTTGTGGGTTGGGGGAGCTAGGCTTGCTTCTTAGAGCAAGTTCTCAAGAAAGCTGTAGGTTACGGCATCTTTTGTTTCTCATCTCACAGAATGCCTTCTTTTTCTTGAAGCCTTCCTCTTCTTTAGCAAACGTGCCCACAGCAAGTGAAAACCCCCCACACAGAGACGCCGCTTAGCTTCCCCGTCGGCTCGCCTGAGGCCAAAGAGTATGGCTCCCCCTCTCCTGAGGGGAACTCATGTCCAAGCCTGGTCCTGTTGCTCGGGGTGATTTCAGGGGACCCCTCACAACAAGGGCGAGGGACACAGTGTAGCTGCAGCCAGGCCCCTGCGGTCACCACAATCAAGACACACATGCCCATCATATTCCATTCTAACCCTGAACACAGAAGGAGTCAACATCCACGCTAAATCCCACAAGCCACGGCCCCTGACACAGCTTCATCCACTTCCTTTTATTGCCATCAACTCAGGCTTGGAGCTTGGGTAGTCTGCGTGTCGGTCCATGTCCAACTTACCTGAAGGTTTCTGGTGTTTTGGGTCTGGGTGGAGGCTCAGCTGCCTATTGAACAGTAGGAGAAGTGAAGAGGGAAGTACACGCAGGAAGGGAAGGGGAGGGAGAACAGACTGTTAATGGTAACTTGAGCCTTCTTCCAGGCCAGAAATCAAAGAAAGCATTTCTGCTCCATCAGAACACCGCCCGCCCGGGGAGAGGCCGCCGTGTACCCTGACTAAATAAAGGAAAATAACACCTCCCACCAGGTCCCTGGCTACAGGTTTCCCCAGCACAGCAATTCATCTTGAGTGGACCTGGTTTCTGGAGAGGTTTAACTGTCACGGAGCAACATGTCTTCAGGAAGGCAATTTTGACCTTGAGCTCTGACCTTTTCCAAGGACAGGTTCTAAAAACTGTTCTATTATTAATGTCTGCGCTGTCATTGACACTCGGGTTTTTAACCAACTATAGAAATGATCCCTGAAAGCACAGTCTTACTTGTGGGTATTAGAATCGACTCAAGATCCGCTGGCCAGGCAAGAATCTCCTTTCAATACGTGTCCCCTGTTCTGCCCTGCCTCCCCAGGAGTCCAGTTAGCTCCCTGGGGTTTCTTCCTCCTCTTCAGTCCTCTGGCTGCTCTAAGCCCAGGGCACCTCTCCCCACAAGACTTTCTTTTCTTTTCTTTTTTTTAAAGATTTACTTATTTATGCATACAAGAACTGGGGTGTAGGCCAGAGTGCAGGGAGATGAGAGGATTCACCAGAGACAGAGTGGGGAGTAGAACAGGCGGATCTACTGAAATACACTGCTGAGGGGAGCAGAGGGAGAGACAGGAGAGGTCTGCTGTGCCATGTGGGTCCCCTCCCTGGCTGGGGATCAAATTCATGCTGCAGTGGCTGGCAATAGCTTGACAGCGCTGAGACTTCAACCTCTGCAACACCAGGGAGGTCCCCCACACAAAGCTTTCTTCAACCTCATTGTGAAGAAGGATCCAAGCAACCCAAGTCTCTGTCTCTGTTGCTCATCCCAACTTCCAGAGCCCAGGGTTGGTCCCATTCTGAGCCCGCTGTCAGCATTCTGTCCCTGGTGGGCTGTCGGTGCTTCCAGGGCAGTCGCCAGGTATGAGCAGGCTGGCAGGACCCTCCCTCTTCTAGTGCTGACCCCACGCCTCCCATCACAGTTCTATTGCCACGGAGCTTGTGTTTTCCTCCGTCTGACTTACCAAAACTGTTCCTGTCACCAGGAAGCTCTGCCTTCACCTCTCTACACCCAGTCAACCAGCCAGTCTGGACCCACCTCCCTGAACACAGCTTGGGTCACTCTGGGCACTCTTCCATTCCCAGGGGCCTTTCCTGCACACAGTGGCTGGATGGAGCCAGAGAGCCCACGGCCTCAAGCTCCTACTAGCTCCTATGTCCTAGAAGAGGCTGTGTCAAAAAGCCTTTGACAGCATGCATTCAATTCTCTGAGAGAATGGTCAAGGCTTCAGGAGAGACAGCAGTAGATGTCTAAGAACTTAGAGAAATAAGAGTGGTGTTGTGGGGAAAGCAAGGAGCTGGTTTCTGAGGACTCGGGGTTTAACCTGAAATTGCCTTATCCCTATCAGTCATGGTACCTGACGATAGGTTTCATGTCATGTGACATGATCATCTGGTCATGTGACCAGGGATGGCCAGGTACACTATCCCTCCCCCCCTTCCCTCGCCAGCAGTGGAAAAAACCCTTAAATGAGGCCATTCAGCATAAATATTGTCCCCAATCAGATGTTTCACAGAGAACTCTGAGAAGGACAGGGCTGCCTCACCTGCGGCTGCAAAGGAGCAAACCCAGAAAAGCTGTCTTGATCCACCACAGAAGCCACCACCTGGAATCAAAAAAGGAAGGCATGAAGGCCCTGCCATCACTGCTTCCCACGTTTCTATGGTTTTCTCAAGACCCCTCACCTTTCTTATACCCTCAGGCCTTTCTCCCTGGAGCCTGGTTCCAGAAGTGGAGAGTGGCTAAGGTTTGGATTGCTGGCACCTGGATTAGAGGTTCTAGAAATGTGTACCTGTCCCACTCCCACTGACCCAGCAGGCTCTTTCTCTCTCTTTGAATTTTTTTTAATTAAAGTGAAATTCCCATAGCATGTGATTAACCATTTTAAAGTGAACAATGCATAGCTACAGTAGCCAAGAGTTGGAACTATGTGCATTCACATTGAGAGGTGAATGCAACGGAATCGTATTCAGCTATAGAAATAAAGAGGAAACCCCACCAATGGATAGACCTCAAGGGTATTATGCTTAGTGAAATAAATCAGATGGAGAAAAACAGATACACAGTTTGTATGATTTCACTTACATGACAGCAAAAGAAAGCAAGCAAGTGAATGAAATAAACAAATGAAACAAAAATAAACTTCTAGGCTCCAAGACCAAATTAATGATGAGCAGAAGGGAAGAGGGACATGGGGTGAGTCAATAAGATAAAAGAGGTCATTTGTATGGTGAAGGATAGAATTGGAGTTTTAGAGGTGAACTGAACGTAGTATATACAGACGTGGACTTTTTATATAACAATGCAAACCTAAAACTTTTATAATGTTATAATGCGATGTTACTGCAATAAAACTTTTAAGTAAATAAGGTGAATATCGCAGTGGTATCTAGTAATCCACCATGCTGTATTTAGTAAGCTACCACCTCCATCTAGTTCCAAAACATTTTCAACATCCCAAAATAAAATACCATGTGCATTAAGTAGGTAATTTACATCCCCTCTCCTAGTACCTGGCAATCAATCACTGATTTGCTTTCTCTTTCTGAGCATTTACCTACTTCAGATCATTCACACATGTGCACTTATAACACGTGGCTTTTGCGTTTGCCTTCTTTCACGTAGCATCATGTTTTTCAAGGTCCATCCATGCAGTGTGTGTGAGTGCTTCATTCTCTTTATGGCCGAGTAATATTCCATTGTGTAGCTGTATCACACTTTGTTCATCCATTCATCCCTTGATGGACATTGAAGTGTGCCCACTGACCCAGGCTGCTCTCTTACATTTGCTCCTGGGCCCAGTTACCCTGGAGTTACCCAGGCAACTTCAGCCCCTACCACTGTGTCAGAGTGAATGTAGTTTTGGAAGGGAGCTGCTGGCTCACTTCGGATCATTTCTGAAAGGCTTTCCAACCTGGATTCAATAGGAGCACCATTTAGAAAGGCATCTAATCACAGTAGGGCTTCAAGAATGTTTAGCCAGAGGATGCCAAGCAGGGCTGTTTCCCGAGTGTTAACTTCAGTTAACAAGTGTCTTATAGCTGTTTTCTCTCCATTGGCTCAGGCACCAAGACTCAGCATCCTGGAAGTAACCTCGGGCCTCGAACCCAGGGTCAGGCAGGAAGGGAGGAATAAGAGCTACCTGGGGAAAATAAACTAGAAGGCGGCACAGTCTTTTTAGCAGCCTGCACACCATCAGCAAACCTCTCCCTGTCATCCCAGGGCAGAACCACAGCAGGAAAACACTTTCCTGGATCTTCTCCACTGTACTCTGGCCACAGGACAGCTGAATGACCCCACTCACCGTGGCCTTGCCTAGGTAATCCTTCTTGGCCAGCTGAGCCACCTGTTTCTCATTTGGTCGAAACAGCTTTCCCACTGGGATCACCACTGGTTCGTACAGCTTCTGTTTCTAGAACACAGAGAGCATCATATTTCCTTACCACCCATCCTAGAATGGATGCAAGGATCATTAAGATAAGCGTCCAAAAAGTACCTTTTCCAAATGTGAAGGACTGAACTGATTATGTCAGAGTGTCTAAGGTAGGAACAGTGGGGTGACTATCGCCTTGCCCTGACAGGCTGTGTAGATACCTGTTGTGTTGTTTCCAGGCAGTCTTTTCCCTGGGGATCTGCCCCGTCCCCCTATGTGGCTTTCGTGGAGCTGTCACTCACAGCCCTGGAGTGTGGCTTCAGACACAAGCAAAGCCGTGTCAGTGCTCTCTTGGGATTGGCATTTGTTGATGCGGGCTGGCATATACAGGCTGACTGGAGTCCCCTGTTCCTAGTGTTTTATATCAGATTTCAAACTAGCTTCATTCTCTGGATAGTTGCACCATCGTTCATATAATCAATGCATTGGCAGTGAGAGCCATCACATGCTTGGCACAGAGCCTTGAGGCCTCAAGGACTTGGTGGTGAACAAGTGACACAGCTTCTGCCCGCGTGCCCAGCTCCAGCCTCAGCCTCCCTCCGCCCCTGTGCTGCCACGGGGCCCCAAGGCAGCGACCAGGCCAGGGCTCTGCTGTCCTGACCTCCAAGCCTTGGAGGTCAGCACCACCCGAATGAGGATTCTACTTGGAAATACACCCCAAAATCAGAATTACCCAGATCCCAGAGGAAGGAAAAGCCCCGCTTTCGTGGCTTCTTGATCTCTGTGTCTAGTAAAACAAATAAAAGCCCAGCGAAAGCATCTCACCATCCCGCCTCTCCAGTCTACTCACCCAGACACATTCCATAGCTTTGTCGATTTTGGAATGTCTGGGCTCCGACTTCATGCTCATGGCCAACGCTAACTGTTCTTCAGCCTTTTTCCATTCCTCCCTCTTGGCATACATGAAAGCAATATTATACAACACCTGGAAAAGAACAGGCCACAGCACAGACCTTGAGGCTGCTCCAAACTTGGTCCCAAGGAAGAGCTTGCAAGTGAACTCACAGTATCCTCTGTTGAGTTTTCTCCCTTTCTCGGCTATAATGGGAATATCTCAAATACAACACAAGCGATCTCGCTCCCATGTTCTGTCCAGCGCAAGCACAGCATTCAGAACACATCATGCAAGGAAGGAAACCAACATCACCTACATTCTCCCAACACCACGTCAGTCAGGAGGGGCCAGGAAAGGATTGTGTTGTTCTAGTAACAAGAAGGACTTGCTCAAGGTCCCCTTGAAGAGTTGGGGATAAAATACAGGCATGGGGCAGGGAGGGAGGGTTCCCAGTGCAAGTCCCACACCGACAGAACTCAGTCCATAACAGGAGTGGTAAGTCTGGGGTGAAGCCATGGGCAAAAGTCCAGAGGGGCTGGAAGGAGACAGAGCAAAATCCTGGACAGAACTTCCCCTGGATGGGAGGAGCAGCATTTGGCAATAGCCATAATTTTCCAGGTCTTCAGTGGGGTGATAAGTTCACAAGTGTTTGTTTTATTATAATGTTTCGCAACTTACAACCGAATAGTCATTTGGATGCATCCATGTAATACAAACTACAGAAGTAAAAATGATTCTCAAGGAAAGGTAGAAAAATAATAGGGGGCAGAAGAAAATCAAGATGGCAACCACAAGAGGGTTTGCTCCTTCTTAAGGATAGTGGAACGTGTTCTCACAGCTCCCTACATCATGCGTTTCTTACAGAGGCATCTCCATCAAAGGAGAGGAGCAGTGAATGGGTCCATTCTCCCCACCCCCTCTTGCATGCAGCCACCTTGGACTAAAGACCCAGAGTGCCATGAACTGGTACCCCCGGCAGAGAACTGGGGGGGGGGCACGCAGAAGAGGGAGTCCAGCAGCCATCCTTGATATATAACTGAACACAAGGGGGCTGGAGCTTTCTTGCTTCTACAGCCCAACTTGTACCCTGGTACTGCTGGGAAGGAGGTTGGAGGAGATGCATGGAAGAGACACGTGGGTGAGACACATGGGTGAGAGACAAGTGGGAGGCTGACTATAGCAGCCAATATCTTGATTTGTACTTTGATTTTTTCTTTGTTCCACACTTGTCTGGCCCCTTTTACTCCTTTCATGTGTTTTTCCACCACAAGGTGCCTTGACTTGTGGCAAGATTAAGCACCTCACCAGTCCTTTGGGGCCAACACTGTTTGGATGGACATTTGCCCAGGAGGGGAGGGATAATTTTGGGTGTTTTAGTGGGAAATTATTATAATAGCATCCTCGCTTCTCTTCCCTTTCTATGTACACTGATTGTAGTATTAAAGAGCTTTCACTAAAAGTCTGCTTTGCCTTTGTGCTCACAGATGGCCAGACCTCTTTAGAGCATGCACATTTGGGGGTCTCTGGGTACTCCTTGGTCACACACTAACATGCAGAGAAAGAGCTGGACAGCTAGGGGTTGCGCAAGCTGTTCAGAGGTGACAGGTATGAGTCACGGCCTAATGCCTGGGCTGGGTGGAGGCATGTGGCCAGGGCCTCCAAGGAGGGATGCAGCTGGTGAGCCAAGGCGCAGCCAGGGAAGGGCATAGTTGGCTGTCCAGCTGGAACGTGTGTAGGGATAGATCTGATGGAGGGTCAAGACCGGTCCTCTGGGCTGTATGTTTGTGTAGCCTCCTCTTCATGTCAGATGGTGTCAATAAGTTACAGGAAATAAATGAAATGATTCCCATAAAGCACTAGGTTCAGTTGCTTGGCCCATGGTGGGAGCCCAGTGAAGGTGCAGGCTCCCCTGGTTGTGCTGTCTGGGGACCTGCGGGAGGCTGAGCACACAAGGGCCTCCACACTCCGGGTCTTCACGTCCCTTCTTCTCAGAGAAAGAACAGGGCCCACGTGGGCAGGGGAAGATGACTTTCTACTCTAACTCCTGGGGGGACTGCTTCCTATGTCACTCTGCTTTGATGCCACTCTTCTATAATCCTTTCTCTGGAGCTACTTGGTCCTCCAACCTGTCCGGAGCCGCCTGGAGCATGCGCCGTGTTGCACAACACACGTGCCATTAATTAGTTTTCGCTTTACCGTTTTGCCTGCTGAGAAACCACAGGTGTTTCCTATTAATCAAATGAGACTGGGAGGTACGATGGGAGGAGCTACCAGGATATAAGAAGAGAACCACGAGAAGGTCAGGAGGTTATTGCGAGAGAGGTTATTGCGAGAGGAGCAGAGAGAAGGTCAGGGAAGGTAGAAAGACAGGGAAAAGTAAAAGAAAGGAAAAGGAAAAATAAAGAAGTAAATGCTAGCGTCAAGTTGTCTCAAGCCCCTCATTTCAATCCTCAGCCCTTCTCTTTTCGTGCCTACGAATCCCGCGGGTCGGGACACCAACCCTTTAAATAGCTGTCAATCAGGGGTGACTGGCAATATCCAGAGACATTAGGTCATTACACTGGGGATGAGGGTGCTCCTGACATCTAGTGGATAGAGACCAGGAATGCTGCTAAATATCCTACGGGCCTCCCTAGTGGCCTAGGGGTTAAGTCTGTGTTTCTACTACTATAGTCACAGTGAAGGCCTGAGTTCCATCCCTGTTCACTGAGATACCCAAATGGCATAGCAGACCTCTCCTGTCTCGCCCGCTGCTCCCCTCAGCAGTGTATTTCAGGAGATCCGCCTGTTCTGCTCCCCACTCTGTCTCTGGTGAATCACCTCATCCCCCACACCTCTGGCCTACACCCCAATTATTTTACACAAAAATAAATAAGAAAAATATTTATAAACTAATACCCTACCATGCACAGGACAACCCCCACACAGAATTCTCTGGACCCATGTCAATAGTGACATGGTCCATGGGGAAGCTTGTCAAATGCCAACCAGTTCCCACTGCAAAGTCTTATTTCCCTAGACTTGTGCAAAGTGAAGTAAACCGTTAGCTTGCTCTGGGACTGGAAGGGACTTGTCCCCAGGGACTTGAACCAATGGACTTGGTTCAGGGCTAATAATAGGGCTATTATTCAGGGCTATTATTAGCCCTGAATCACCCTGGGAACTCTAAGCTTCTCCTGTCTGAGAAACTACAGCCTGAGGGCTTTCTTCCCCAGTGATACTTTATATAAAGATCTATGATCTTTGCAGGGATTTTAGTTTTTAAACCTACTCATGTGTATTAGGAGGAGAGGAGGAGAAAGGAGTTGGTTAGAAAAGTACTTGAACTTATGAAGTCAAGCAAGTCCAGTTTCTCCATTTCGGTAACGCAGAAAATCAGCTGTCCTTCCATGGAAACCTTTCCTCCATGTGTTCTTTGAGCTGTCCTCTGAGCAGGAGGAGACAGATCTGTGCCAGATTCTCCTCACTCTCTGGGTGTCAACCAAGCACACAAGGCCAGAACCATTCATAGCAAAGAGCATGGTCTGTAACTTGGCCTCTGAATAAGGTTACAGCAGGTCCTGAGTGGATTGTGAACCGAGGAGTCCAGATTTGTTAGTATAATGCTGAGCAAATGGCTTGTCACTGCATTAAGCAAATTATTATGATTGTTTTTACGGCTCACTCCACACTGTGTCTAGGCTCACCTTGGAGAGCCCAGCAAACCTGTTTCTGCAAGGTCCTTGAACCTCTCATTCACAGAATGCAGGCCCCGGGTAACTAAGGACGCCTGAGCCTAAAATAATCCATCTGACCTTTTCTGAAGAAAAAACTTGAGTCCCAAGGCATAGGATGCAACATGCCTTGTTCAAGCTCCTAGGTTCGGGAGGGAGGGCAGGAGGAGAGCAATCATGAAATTAAAATCAATAAAAGAAATATCCAAAAGGGGGTGAGAGGGCAGTAGGCAAGTAGGACTAATGGGAGTCTAGCTGCCTGACCACTTGGTGACAACCCCACAACCACATCGATCAGCTCCACAAACCAGCATCCTGTCATGGGAGCTGGGGAGCTTGTTGAGACAGCACCCAGCTTTCCCCAGGGATTGATAAATGCTGTAGATCTCAGCTTCAACGAGGATGATTTTCTCCCTGCCTGCACTAACACACAGACATCCCTCCCTTTGGCACGATTTCCTTCCCTCCTTTTATTGAATCTTATTCGCTCACATATGGGAGGCAGCTTTGCCTATGGACACTTCTCACATTGAAACATCTCCTATAGAGAGTTTTATTTAACTTGTTTCGTTTACATGCACTGTCAGAGCACATGAAGAATTCACTAGACCAGCGAGCACAGAAGACAGTACACTGCTAGAGTCTGCGCGCCATGGTCTCTTGCAGATCGAACCGGCGCCGCAAGGCTGCAGCTTGCCAGCATCAACGCTGCGCCACAGGGAGTCCGAGGCCTTGTTTTGAACCCTAGACAACTAGAGTCTTGTTCATGCAGAAACGGCCTGTCCAGCTGAGTGACACTTTGACAGAGGCGTCAACAGATCGAAGCGCTTCTCACAGCCAACCCATCCAACCACTACCACCGGCTGGGCCCTTCCTCCTCACCTCACAGGCAAACAGCTTGAACTGCAGCCCCAGAATCTTGTAGTCTATCAGCTGGTTCCCTCGAAGCTGAGTCAAGGCATCTTTTAGGTCTTTAATAGCTGAGTCATAACTGCAGGACAGAGGGAGACGAGAAATGAGTCCAGGGCACAGAGGATGTGGGATACCGGACATTTGGAATAAACCTGCATGCCCACTCCCCTTCCTGTCCACCTCACCAGGACAAGAAGTCTTTCCATATGCTTGAGTTTGTTGCAACTCTGAGCCCCAGTATTTCACAGAACTCTGTGTGAACAGTACCCCAAACCCTGGGTGGAGCCTCGGTCTCAGCAATTGCAGGGATTTTCTTTGCTGGTCACCTGCCAACAACTCACCTTTCTGACAACTTGGCTTGTCCTATTCCGGCAGATCCCCCCCATCCCCTGCACCCTAGAGCTCCACTCTAGAGAACCAGCAAGCTAGCCTGTGTCCATGTGGACTGATTGGGCTCGCCATTGAAGGTCAGGTCAGCCTGACAGTTCTGAGGGTCCTGGGGACAGCTCCCTCCTGCCCAGAGCTGCCTCCTCTGGCTTCTTCTCATTCCAACTTAATTCCTGCCTTGGTGGCCTTCTTAGTCTCCGCTTCCCTCCCTCTTCTCCACACACATTGGGGAAAATAAAAGAAGAAACCACACTTAAATCAGGATGACTTTCTGACACCACTCGGGCTTTGTTGGGTTGGTGCCGGCTGGCTCCAGGTCTGTGGGCCTGCTATCCTTACCCCCATCCCCAGGCCCCGGCCTGGCAGGAACAGATCTTGGCGTCTGCTTGTGGCCTCCACCATGGGCAAACTGGACCAAAGTCCCCAGGGCACTCTCTGACCTGGAGCTGCCAGGTGGTTTCTCTTGGAGGTGAGCTGCAATTTGAGCATGGGCTGGCGGGGAACCTCAACGGGTGATAGGTGTCCTAGACCTTGGGCTGAGAGGTCGGACCAGATCCATCAGCTCTGCCATTAACCAGGGGCCCCAGGCCAATCCCACCTCAGTTCACGAAGTTAATACAGGAGCATGTTCTGTGCCGGGGCGTATTCTACCCAAAGTGCCCAGAACGTGAAGCGCTTGCAAATGTGTGGTCTGGATCCAATGTCTGGTGTCAAACCACATGGACTCGAGTCCTGACTATCGTTATTTAGTGAGTGACAAAGGACCAATTATTTAACTTCTCCGTTTAGAACTAGGGACTAATCATAACCCATGCCTCATGGGTTGTTGTAAATGTGCAGGAGCTTTCAGATGTTTTAGGATGGTGCCTGGTTCACATGCACAGCATTTACTATTGTTATTGTTATTATCATTTTATTTTTTCAGCGCTAAAACTCTGATAATTAAATTCAAAGCCAATCATTATGCTCACACACAGCTCTATTTTGCACTAGATTTTATCAGGAGATAAGAATACACGGTTGGGGAGGGAGAAGGAGGTGGGGAAGGAAGGGGGTGGGACAGGCACAGGAGGTTTGGTGGGGGTGATTGTAACCTGAGAACATGTGTAACCCCCCAAAAATGTAACCCAAAGTCACACAGGCATGTAAACAATGAACAAGTTAAAAAGATAAAAATCTACCAAATCAAGTAAATGAAAACTAAATAGAATTAAGAAATCCAATAATCAACAATTATTTCAATTATATCAGTTGCCATTTAAAAATTCTATTATAACTAAACTGCTAAGATAATACATTCCTGAGGGAAAAAATACACAGTTGTGAAAGCTGGAACGCTATCTCTGCAGAGTTTTGAGCTGACCAGGAGGAGGGCAGTTTGGCTGGGACCATCCTCAGAAACATGTTCCCCAGGTGACGGTTGGGGAGCGGGGAGAAGCCACACGCTCTGTAGACAGATATTCTGTCACCGTTTGGTCTGAAGTGACTCACGTCAGAGCAGCAGTGGCTACAGGAATGAAGGGAGAAGACAGCCTGGGACGGAAACAGAGGACAGCTTCCTCTCCCGCGTCCTTGTTCACGAGAAACCTGTGAAAAGCATGCAGGCCTTTCCCTAAGAAGCAGAAGCAGAAAACATTTCAAGTCCCTTCCACACCTTTTTTGGGATCCCTATGAAGAGGGAGACGGTAAGGAGAGCTGTTCTTTCTAAGGCAGATACTGGGGGCCAGGTTCCCACTCACTAAGCCAAGATGGGGGGCCAGGCAGAAAGGAGGTGTTTTGTGTGTGTGTGTGTTGGGGGGGCAGTTCCCTTCGTGAACCATTGACTGTGTGTGTGGGAGCCTGAAGGCACCTTAAGTGCTGTCAGCATCACCTGCGTGTGCAACTCTTCCCTGGGGAGCTGGCTAAGCAGGCGAATTTCAGCTGTGCTGTCACCGCCTGTGTCTACCTGGTATTGAGTGAACCCAACAAAATCCTCCTCACATACACTCATCAAGATGTCTAATGATCTGAACCTGAATGGAGGGAGAGAAGGAAGTGGCAAATGATTCAAAGAGCTGGCTCTATGTTTTAAAATGGGGTGGGGGCACCCCTGCTAAGTGTCCCCTTTCAAACTTGTCTTTCAAAGTTTTGCCCTGCCCCGCCCCCACTGCCTGCAGCAGCATTCCCCTCAGCCCCTCATTTGTTTGCCCACAGTCCACCCCTGGGGCACCTGCTTTGACTTATAGCTCTACCCACCCCGCTAGGGTCTGAATAAGCTCAGCATGGAAATTCCAGAATAGCACAGCTCCACATGCTGGGAGGCGTAGGCTGTGGTGGCTGTGGAGGCCACTCCTCCCCTCCTTGTCACCTTCCTTCTGGAGTTCTCTCTGGTGCCAGTTGGAGCCAAGTGTCCCCAGGGAGGCCCAGGGAGCTGGGGCTTCCTACCAAGTTCTGCTGGGCTAGGGGTGAATGCTTTTTTCAAGCCCACACCCCAGTGATAACCCTGGGGCACCACGGCAACCCCTCTGGGTTTTTCATCGTTCTGAGCCTGAGGGTTTCCTAATTCTCATTTCTGGAATGATCCCTGTGAAGGCTTCTAAGTCACTGCTGCCATTTCAGATTGTTCTGTGCTGCCAAGGCCCCACAATCTGGAATCCTGCTGCTCAAACACTTGTCTCTTGGATAAAACAGAGTTGCAGTAAGTCAAAGAAGTCAAATGTCAAACACCTTTATGACAAGGGCTGGGGCTTTGCCCTTCCCGCTTCAAAGACAGCAGGGTCAAGGCTTTGCTGCCTGTGGTGCCCTTTGGTCAGCTCCATCTAGACAGTCTCCCCATTGTTATCATAACCCACAGATTCACAGAACCCAGGATCTGAAAGACAACTTAACGTTTCCTCCCCCCTTCACACAACAGGCTGGGGCAGAAAGGGGAGGAGGCTGGTCACAGTCACCCCTGAGACAACCCCTGTCTCCTCAGAAGTGCTGCAACTTTGTCCTGTTGGGAACTTTACAGACAGAAGAGCAACACAACATGGGAACATGGGGGGGGGAAACAGAAAAAAACTCCCTTAACGTCATCACCCAAAAACAAGTCCCACTGCAGTCAGAAGGAATTCCTAACCCACCCATTAAGAAGCAATTTTTCTAGCTTCCCAGGCATTTATTTAAAAATACTGGTGTTCTAGTTACAAGTGCTTATGACCTGGTTCCTTTTTCAATTAAGGTGCCTGAAAGCAGAGGCTATATTTTGCTTGTTTTCATTTAATGAATTCAGTAAGCACTGCATTATAGCCTGTTATAATAGTATATTACATCCATATGTATGTTACCTGTATATTATGTGTAGTATATAGTATATATATGCAGTGTATGATATCCTTTCGTAATAGGGAAAAAAACCTGCCCTATTAGCAAAAGGGAAAAAGGTCAAGAGTAGAACTTGGTATGGGGGACAGCACCACACACAGATTAAACAAAGAAAAGGAGTTAGATCAGGGTGGGGGATCGTCTCATTTATATTACTTCCTTAATAGATGGTTGTTGAATTAAAGATAAACTTTGGTAGGTTTTTCTCTCAGATGTAACTGTTACACGTCACAGACTAACTGAAACCTAAATCTTTCTAATTCACTCAAAATTTGAGACTTCCGGGCCTCCTCTGGTGGCGCAGCGGTTGAGCGCTGGGCTGCGAAGCTGCCTGCAGCCTCTGCAGAGCTGATTTGATCCCCGGCTGCTGGTGAGGGTCCCACATGGCACGTGGACCTCTCCTGCCGCCTGCTGCTCCCCTCAGCAGTGTACATCGTCTGTCTGCCTGTTCTGTTTCTCGCTCTGGCTCTGGTGAATTCTCTCACCCTCCCGCACTTCTGACTGTACCCAGTGCTTGCTTGAATAAATAAATAAATAAATAAACAAATAAATAAATAAATCTTTAAAAAAATTTTGAGCCTTCCTCACTTGGGGACGCTTTCATGTAGAAATGACTAGGGGTCATTTTAACTTATAAGTGTCTTCTGGGACCTCTTTTGCCAGTGTCCTCTTTAGAGTTTGTGAGAGCTGATTAAAAGATGTACCCAGTGCTTGTATAAATAAATAAATAAATCTTTAAAAAAAATAGATGACTTTACACCTTGTCTTTTGAGATTCTGGATCAGCTGGAGGCTTTAGGCTCAGTTCTCCCAGTATATCCCATGCATCTGGAGATAGTAGGGGAATGAGAAGGGGAAGGAGCAGAGAGGGCCTAACAATGTATCCATAAGATAATTCACCACGACCAAGTAGGATTCATTCCAGGGACACAAGGATGGTTCAACATCCGAAAATCAATCAGCATTATCCAACACATCAACAAAAAGAAATATAAAAACCATATTATAATATCAATAGATACTGAGAAAGCTTTCCACAAAGTGCAACACGCATTCATGATAAAAGCCCTTGAAATTCTTGGGATACAAGGAACATACCTCAACATCATAAAAGCCATCTATGACAAGCCAACAGCCAGTGTCATTCTCAATGGTGAAAAGCTGAAAGCAATTCCATTAAGATCTGGAACAAGACAAGGATGTCCACTCTCACCACTGCTTTTCAATATAATACTGGAAGTCCTAGCCAGAGCAATAAGACAAGAGAAAGACATCCAAGGAATCCAAATAGGAAAAGAAGAAGTCAAACTATCACTATTTGCAGATGATATGATAATATACATAGAGAACCCCAAAAACTCCATAGAAAAACTAATTCAACTCATCAATCAGTTCAGTAAAGTGGCAGGATACAAAATCAACATGCAAAAGTCAGTAGCCTTCCTATACACAAACAATAAATCTGAAGAAGAAATCAAAAAAACCATCCCTTTTATTATCGAAACAAAAAAAATCAAATACTTGGGAATAAATCTAACAAAAGAGGTAAAGTAAAGGACCTATACAAAGAAAACTATAAAACACTGTTAAAAGAAATAGAAAGACATCCCCTGCTCATGGATTGGAAGAATAAACATTATTAAAATGGCCATCCTACCAAAAGCAATATACAGATTCAATACCATTCCAATCAAAATTTCAATGTCATTCTTCAAAGAAATAGAACAATTATTGATGAAATTCATATGGAATCACAAAAAAACCCGAATAGCCAAAGCTCTCCTGAAAAAAAAAAAGAAGGGAAGGGAGGCATCACACTCCCAGACTTCAAACTCTGCTACAAAGCCATAATCATCAAAACTGCATGGTATTGGAACAAGAACAGACACACAGACCAATGGAATCGAATAGAAAATCCAGAAATAAACCCACAGATTTATGGTCAACTAATCTTTGACAAAGGAGCAAAGACTATGCATTGGAGCAAAGAAAGTTTGTTCAATAAATGGTGCTCGGAAAACTGGGTCGCTACATGCAAAAGAATGAAGCTTGACCACTACCTCACACCATACACAAAAATCAACTCAAAATGGATTAAAGAACTAGACATAAGACCTGAAACCATAAAATACATAGAAGGAAATATAGGCGAAACACTACGGGATTTGCACATCAAAGACATCTTTACAGACACATCACCCAAAGCAGTGATAGTGAAGACAAAGATAAACAGCTGGGACTACATCAAATTAAAGAGCTTCTGCACAGCAAAAGAGACAATAACAAAAACAAAGAGAAACCCCACCAACTGGGAGAACATTTTTGCACATAACACTAATGATAAAGGACTGATCACAAAAATCTGCAAAGAGCTGATGAGACTCAACAACAACAAAGAAAATAATCCAGTCAAAAAATGGGCAGAAGAGCTAAAAAGAAACTTCTCTGAAGAGGAAATGCAAATGGCCAACATTCATATGAAAAAATGTTCAACATCACTTGTAATGAGGGAAATGCAAATCAAAACTACCATGAGATACCATCTCACACCAGTGAGAATGGCACATATTAAAAAAACTAGCAACAACAAATGTTGGCGAGGTTGTGGAGAAAAAGGAACTCTTCTGTAATGTTGGTGGGAGTGCAAACTAGTCCAACCACTATGGAGAGCTGTGTGGAGATTTCTGGACCTACTAAACATGGAGCTTCCATATGATCCAGCAATTCCACTCCTAGGTATTTACCCAAAGGACACAGAAACATCAATTCCAAAGAGCACCTGCACCCCTATGTTTATAGCAGCACTATTTACAATAGCTAAGCTTTGGAAACAACCCAAATGCCCAAAAATAGATGACTGGATCAAGAAGATGTGGTACATATACACCATGGAATATTACTCAGCATTCAAAAAAGATAAACACATGCAATTTGCAGCAACATGGATGGCGCTGGAAGGGATCATGCTCAGCGAAATAAGCCAAAAAGAAAAAGAAAAATACCGGATGGTCTCACTCATAGCAGGAATCTAGAAAACTTAAATAAGGGACCAGGAAAATGAATAACTATAAGAAAGTGAAAATCAAAATCAACAAAAAACTATGAACCAGAGACACTTTTTGGGGGGTGAGGGGCGGGAGGGGAGGGATTGGGGTCAGAATGGGGGGGTTGCAATTGTATGGGGAATATAAAAATAAAATTTATTATTTAAAAAAAAACAATTACTAGATTTATAAAAAAAAAAAAAGAAGAAAGACAGGTTGTTGAAGGCTTGATGCCATAAAGGGAAAGGCAAGCACGTGTATGTCCTCTCAATCCCACAATCTTTTTCTCCCCAGATCGCTTCTGGTTTTCTGGGATGGGGGGTACTTCACACCTGCTTTTACTTACTCAGGTAACAGATTGTATCTACATCTTGGAAATCCTTTGAGCATCTAGTAGTTGCCCCTAGCAACGCTGAACCCAGCAGCTTTAAAGGCTCTATTTCTGACCACCCCAAGGATCCAAACCTTTCAAGCCTGCACAGGATCAAGGCCAGCCTCATCCCCAATACCTGGACATTTTCTGCAGCTTACTGTTTGTGCTGCCTCAAGCACACACACATACATAGACACTCCGCAACAGTTTTCACTGTTTGAGAGTTCTTCATTAGCCTGAACTGAATTCTCCTTAGAATTCTTCCTAGAACTAGGCATGTAGATGATGTAGCAGTTTCTATGAAGGGTTAATTTGCCATCGCTTTAAACATTTAAAGTCAATGCTTAGAATAGCTCTCCTGTGTTCTTTGTATATTTGTTATTAGAGTATTTGGGGGAGAGAAGTAGGACTTGATATTAACTTTCATTTTTTATTTATTTATCTTTTTACTGATTATTTCATACTGACTTTAAAAACCAATAATTACTGATCAGCTGATAGAAGAAAATGTAAATCTTATCATTTCTCCACCTGGAGAGAACTACTGGCAATATTTTAGTCTATAACCTTCCAGACTTTATTCTGTGAAACAGAATTGATGTTTTGAAATCTGTTTTTTAAATTCAACATCTACTGTGAATGTTTTCCATATTAAATATCTGCTACTTATGTATCTGCATTAAAATCTTCTTTCACATATCTTTAGTTTGTATTCTCAGGTTTGGGTGGCTGAATTATATTTCATGGACTGGATTAAACCAGGCTTTTGAAAACATGTTCTGTTGCAATGAAGCAGGGTTCTGACATGGTTCCAAGCTAGTCTCATTGTGTGACAGTTCAGTTCCTCATTGCTGTAGACATCATGGATGTTCCCATGATGGCCCAACCATTCACAACTAGCTCCACCCAGGATGTGATCCTTCAGGGACCTGGTGGTGCCATGCTGGCTGAATTGCTGTCCTGTCGTGGCTGCACAGGCTGCTTGTGAGCAATAACACAGCTAATTTAGAAATAGGCCCAGGGCTGCTCTCCCTTTTCAGGGAGGGCTTCTGCCTCATGCTGATTTATTGCTTAACCATCCAGAGAAGCTTCCCAACAACTGAGCAAAGCTTCCCAACAGGCTGGACACCAAATCCAGCAGTACCAAGCCCCCCACCCCAACCCCAACTTGGGTTTCTCTTTGGACGTGCCCAGCTTCTGCAGCACCGGATCACTTACTTCTCCATCTGGTAGCAGAGCATCCCTCTCTGGAAGTAGGCCACTGCCAAGTGCTTGTCCCGGAGAATGCTTTTGGTGAAAGCCTGTGGAAATAAAGAGGGTCCACATTTGGCCAAGAAGCCAGCAGCAAGGAGAGTGAGTGGGCTAGAGGGTGAGCAGGGAGGGTCAAGAGAGTAGCTGTCCTCTTAAAGAGGGCAGGAGGTTCAGGAATCCAACACCCAGCAACACCCAGAGTCAGAACACCCCTTGTTGTCACCTCCCCCAGTGGCAGCTCCTTGAATCTGTGTTTTTCTTTTTTGTAAAATGGGGATATACTGCCTGGTTTTCAAGATTACTGGCAGGATAAAGATAACAAAAGTAATTAAAAATGAAAAGAAAGAGGGCCTCCCCGGTGGCACAGGGGTTGAGCGCTGGGTTGCGAAGCTGCCCGCAGCCTCTGCAGTGCCGGTTCAATCCCCGGCTGCTCCCCGGCCACAGGAGGAGGGTCCCACCGGTGCGCAGACCTCTCCTGCTGCCTGCTGCTCCCCTCAGCAGTGTACCTCGGTCCTTCTGCCTGCTCTGCTCCCTGCTCTGGCTCTGGTGAATTCTCTCACCCTCCCGCGCTTCTGACTGTACCCAGTGCTTGTATAAATAAATAAATAAATAAATAAATAAATAAATAAATAAATAAACAAATCTTTAATAAATAAATAAATCTTAAAAATTAAAAGAACAAGTAATTTTTATATACAGCATTTTACTTGTTATACAAATTTACTATATAAATATGAGACAACTACAGTAATAACAAACAAGAATTCATATAAAATGCTACTAGTAAGGACTTAAGACAGGAAACCAAGGAAAGGCAGAGAGAATAAGAAGTCCAGAAGTGGCAAAATGCAAGGAGGGTTCAAGAGCACAGCAAGGAAGGCATGGGAGCAAGAGGAGAGAAGGGGGTGGCCTGCATAGCTCCGCCAAAAAACCAGGAGGCTGGTGAGGGTGTGTGTGCAAATAATTCCTGCTGGCATAGCTGCCATGCTTTGCCCACCTCTTCTCACAATGTCTACTTTGTCTCTGTCAGCCTTTGGAATCTGTGATGCTTTTTGCTCACCCTCAGCATGCCCCTGAAAGGGGGTGGAGTGCCTTTGTCTGCTCCCTGCTGCCTATACCAGAGCCCAAGATAGACTTGCCAGTCTGTGCACAGCTACCTCTCTGCTCCCTCCTCTTGGCTTAACAGCTGGTCTATGTGAGGATGACCATGGCAGCAGGGGGCAGGGGGTCAATTATTTTTCTACTCTGCCTTGCATAAACTTGCATTAAGGTAAAAAGAAGAACCAACATTTACATAATGGTGTGAGATTATACTGCACTTTAATAGTTGCTTCCTCACTTAACTCTCCTGATGTTTAACCCTCAGGAAACTGAGAGCCGGAAGTGTACAGGTGTGCTGAAGACCACAGGTCCAGATAGAGGCAGAGGTGAGATCTGATCCTAGATCTTCTACCTACAAACCCCACACTCTGTCCTGGTTACCATGACCAATTCCAAAAGTGATTATTGAGAATGCTGAACATCATCCTCGGGAAGATAAGATATAAAAAAATTTTTGAAAAAGATGCTGAAATAACCACAAGGTGCCTTTGGCAGACATCATTAATCAATCACAATATGATCTTCTGCCAGTCTCAGAATTCTTCATTCTCCACATGCCAATGATCAGAATTGTTAGTTCAGAGGAAACTCATTCTTCTTAAATTTCTCTCTTGATCTATTGGGCAGGCAAAACTGATACACATGAGCTTCTTGGGAAGCCTAAAGAGGTGCTTTCTAGTAAGATAAACAGTGAAACCCTGATTCAGGAAGCTTCTCAGAAGGAAACACAACTGGGGCAGGATGTTCCATACAAATGTTAAAGAATGAGCAGAGAATGATTTGAATTTAATAGATGGAGAAGAAAGGAGAGCATAGCCCACAGTTGGTGCTCCAGTCCCCAGTAGTCCATTACAACCAGCTGGGGAGCTTTTAAAACTGCCTAGCCCCTCCCCAGACCAATTCAATAAGGATCTGTGGGGGTGGGGGCTGGGAAGCTTGAATTCTTTTAAACCTCCCTGGATTCTAAAGTGCAGTGGGGGTTGAGAACCACTAATTAAAAAGTCTCAAGGAGGAGGCCCCCAGGGAGAGGGAAAGCCACTCACCTTCTCCGCCTCCCGCATGTTTCCCAGGATGGTGTGCATGCAGCCAATGTTGAAGCAAATCCTGGAGTGGGGGTCCTGGACTGCGCTGAAGGCTTCCAGGGCTCCCTTCCAGTCCTTCTTGTCGGCTGCCAGCACCCCTTCATTCCAGAGTCTGATGGCCTCGGCCAAGGACATGGTCAGGTGGAGAGCAGGTGGCTGGCAGTTCTGTGGGGAGATGGGGAGGGTGGACAGGGCTCCCTCCTGCCCTATGGCCCACAGCCCTGCCTTCACTTCCCAGTTCTGTGCTCCAAATGGCGCCAGCGTCCCTTCACTCAACTTCTCTGTGTTGCAAATGAGCCAGGAAATGTCCCCACTTTTTGTCAACTTACCACCCTACCGGAACCTAGAAAAGGAAAGCACTAGAGAAAGGGTAAATGGGGGAGAGCGGAAGTGCATCAGATACTGCCTGTGAGGGCTCAGTTCCCCAAAATGCTTTTTGCTCAGTCACCCAGCTCCTCACGGCTTTCTATTTTATTTTTCTGGCCCAGAACCCGCCCCCGGGCTCAGGGCAACCTCCCACTCCCCGGGCCTCCATTCCCACGCCCTTGTTAAATGACGGTGTTGAATGAGAGGATAGTTCTCTCCAGTCAAAAAAGGTTCCTTGCTCGCCTTCTAATCACCTCATAGGCTGGCTTGATGCATTTGCTTTTTCATCTTGCGCCAAAATGAGCAATTAATAAGTTTCTGAGCCCAGATATTCTTATGTGTTCTTCTGGGTCTGAGATAACTTTTATGAACACATAGGATGTTCAGTGGGAACTGATTTCCACAAATGCCAAAATAAGGAGCTGATTTTGACTGAATTTATGACTTCTCTTACCTTTCTGTGAAAAGAGACAAGGGAGCTCAGTGATACTGAATGTATTTATTGGTCTCCAAAGACATAGGTTGAGATTCCTGACTTTGCTACCCTGGGAAGGTAAAAGCCAGTAAAGCCATGTTGAGAATAATTGGAGTAGGGGGTACAACCAATTTGATTTACTAATATTCAGACTTCTTGTTAATATTAGGTAAATGCATGCAGGTAAATTATAAGGGTGAAATACAGAGGTCAGCACTTGTTCTGTAACCACTGAAAAAACACCAGTTATCACCACACTCTCTCCAAGAACCTGAAATGAAACTTAAAAATGTACATTCTACAGGGCTTATAGGTTGGCAGTTGTGAGAACTGAGAAGATAAATGTGTCTCTTTGCATAGATCATTCCCTGCATTTAAAAAGTCTTTCTACCTGGCAAACTTCTACATATCCTTCAAGACCCAGTCAAATTCCACCACCTCTCTGAAACCTTTCCCCATGCTCCAGGCAGTAGAGAGACTTTTTACCTTCTTTGTAATACTCTTCCCAAACACTTGTATTGGTGGCAATTTATCTCCTCATCGGTTGGACACTTAGACCTCTTGAGAGCTGGCATCAGAACTTTTCATAACAGCGTCCCCAGTACTAATACTCACCAGGAGATGAAGAAATGTATTCCAAAAATAAGTTAGAAATCATTGGCAAACAACCTGCAGGTAGTAGTGGTGCCAGGAAGAAATGCCGCTGATCTATCTAGCAAATAAATAATCAGAACTCAATTAGCACACTGATTATTCCCAGGAAAACTGAGTGGCTTTGTAGGTAACCTAGATGTTACTAAAATAAAATATGTGCCTGCTTTTTATTTTATTATCCTAGCCTGAGATTCAGAAACCTCCTTAAACTGACACCCATAGATTTTCCAGGCTAATTTCCCAGCATGACCCTTCACAAAGCCCTGCATGCTCTACAGCCTGCTCCTCTTAATTTGGGCATATTTCCTGCTGCTCTGCCTTGGTTCATGTTAGCTCCTCTCCCCGGGCTGCCCGATCCACACCTGCACCTTCACACCCACCTGGCACACACTTTGGAGCTGCTCTGCTCCATCACTTTCCTTTAGAAGCCACCCTGAAAAAATCAGGCCCATCTTCACCCTTCACAACCCTGACCTCGCCTTCTGCTGAACCCCCATGTGGCACTTTGTGGACCCCCACCCAAGTAGAATTATGGGTGTTTATGAACATAAGTTCATCTTTGCTCCTCATACAGACCTGTCAGAGGAAGTCCTAGGGAACCCCCAGTGTTGTATTCCCCAGAGAACAAGCAATGCTGTTCACATTTAATTCTGTCCACTTTTCCTCTCTCTCTCTGTATCAAGCTCCCACCACTCACTTGTGGATGGAAAATTTACTATTAAATACAGGTAGTCTCCAAACATTTCCTTGCTCCTCCATACGTCTTCCACACAGTAATCAGATGGATCTTTTAAAAACACAGTTTTTAAAACTGTGCCTTTGCATTGCTTTTAAGATACAATTAAACTCTTCCTTGCAATGCAGGAAGGACCCTGGATGCTGCCCACACTCATTCCCTGTCATTTCCTCTCCGTCCCCACCCTCCCGGTGCCCTGGATGCATGTTCTCAAATAAACCAGACCTGTGTCCTTTGCCTGGAATGCTCACCCACAATCCCCTGCCTGGCTGCTTCCTACTCAACTTTCAGTTCCTCTTGGGAATCGTTCTTGATCCATGATCTTGCAGTGATTGACCTGTCATCAACTAGTTCTCACCCGCCAGGGTATTCGTCACAAGTGGTAGCTGTTTATCATCTGTGAGATGATTTCTGTCCCCCAGTGCAGAGAAAGTCATGGCTACTGCCTTTGATACTGTCTTCCATGACAACGGTCACTGGCACTGCAGCTGCCCATCATTTCCCTTCCTCTTTTTGGTAGAACCCCAGTGCTCCATGAGACAAGCTCCACACTGCCCAGGGAATGGAGTTCTCACTGGTTTATGCACAAGCAAGAGAGAATTCTAGTTCCTAAGACATCCAGGGAAGTCTGCCGAGGATTTCTGGGAAAGAGTTTTTCCTTACTGATACGCACACACGCGAGCACATACACACACACACACACACACACACACAGAGAGAGAGAGAGAGAGAGAGAGAGAGAGAGAGAGAGCGAGGAGTATTTCTCCCCTAGAGGATGTTGTGAGGATTTGCCAGGAACAGTGGCAACTATCTTGTGATCATGAGGATCAGCTAAGAAAAAGACATTAACTGAAGGAAGGAACTGAAAACTAAAAATAACCTGGATCCTTAATTATTTTGGTAAGCTCTTAAATTAACCAATCTAGCTGCTGACCTACCTCGGCATTTCTTGTTTGCTGAGACAATGAATCTGTTCATTGTTTAAGTCACTTAAATTGGGTTTTCTGTTACAACTTAAAACCTCCTGACAGACAACCACTGTATTCTCAGCACCTAGCACCGTGCTTGACATAGTAAATATTCCGTAAACGTTATTTGTTGAAAAGATTTTCTTGAGTCATTGATTAAAAAAATCAAAATTGGCTAGAAGCAAGCCACGGGTCCTGCCCACATAGGAGCGGGGATCATTGGCAGCAACTTAGAATTTTGCCTACTCTGGAGCATCAGTCTTCTCCTAGGCCAGTTCTTCCTGCCCTGTTCTCTCAGAGCAGCATCTCTCTCTGCCTTTCCTACCATGTATCCAAACACACATGATCCTAAATACTTGCTTAAGTGACTATCTCCCAACTGGATCTATAGCCAAATTTTCCACTCTGTCTTTTATGCCTATTACATGATAGATTCTCAAAATATATAGTGGATATCAATGCTGTGAAAGGTGCTATTAAAGTAAACACAATAATTTAGTTTGGTTGGTTAAATATATCCCTCCTACCATTTTAGGTCAAAATGAAGCCTGTTCCTTTAAGGACCTTCATTAAACACACTGCAGACCAGGATCTTTTTCAACTTTGCATTCTTTATGTACACAATATCTGGCACCTCCATAGGTATCTAACCAATGAATTAATGAATGAATACCTAATACATACATTTGTAATAAATGAAACTCTGAACCTGAGTAAGACCCTATAAAATTGTCCCTCACATTTTTTTTTCTGCAGATATGAATCCTTCTCATCTTTAAAAATGCAGCCTAGACTCACCTCCTAGGTGAGTCCATGAAGTCCATGAAGCCTTCCTGGACTTAAGTCAGTCTGAGCAATTTTTATTTTTCTGAATTGATATCGCATTTTAAATCAAGCCCCTAAACACAAGTACTCTATGTTGCATTATCTACTTTCTACCTTATCTATTCAGCTAACTGTAAGCATGAGAACTTGGAGCTTTCTTTCTACTTCCCTACATTTTTTTTTTTACAGAATCTAGTCCCTAAAATCTTACATCTAAGGCTTAATAAATATGTTGATCTAAATTGTATTGGGGAATATAAAAATAAAATTTATTAATTAAAAAAATAAAAAAATGTTTTGAATTATTACTGATCTGATTTCATTCCAGTTCTGCACATCTTGTAACTTTCTCTTTTTGAATACAATTGGCCTTTTCAGTCCTGTGACTTCTCCCCACAGCACCCATCTGCTGTGATCTACCTTCCAAGCCAGAGAAGCAGTTTTCATTTCCCATGGGTCTTTCTCTCTGCAAAGATCAGGTGTCTGGCTAATTTTCTCATGTGTTTGTCAGCATATTGGATTCCCAGGCCAGTAGATATCTAATGATAAATGCTGCCTTAAGTAAGACAGTTATTGATGTAGAAAGAGTATAAACTGATGATGTTAAAACCATGTCATAAGAAAGAGGGGAGGGTGGGTGCAGAAGAATTAGAAATATACCTCACATTTGACAAAAAAAATTTAAAGATTTTTCTTTTACTTCTTTTGTAGTATCTCTAACAACTAAAACAGTGTCCAAGCATATGACAAATACTCGCTGAATGAATGAATAAGTGAAGAATAGACATCTTCCCTCCTTCTCCAGGAAGTGCCCGTTAAATCCAATCTAGGATTAGAGGGTCCCATTTGAAGTGCAGGATTCATGGCTTGTTGGGCCACAGTGGACCAATCAATATCTGTCTGCTGTGAATCACAATTTCGGACTGAGACAGCAGGCAGATCTGTTTGGGGAACTGGAACCATGGCATGTAAACTTAGGAGATGTGGTTCTGCCTTCAGGTGTAAGGAATCAGAGAAAGTCAGTCTGGAGAAAGAGAGAGGGAAGGAAGGAGGAAGGGAGAGAGGGAGGCAGAGAGAGAGAGAGAGAGAGAGAGAGAGAGAGAGAGAGAGAGAGAGAGAGGAAGAAGAAGTAGGAGGAGGGTGGAAGGCAGGAAAGGAAAAGCAAATGCTTAGTGAGAATCAGAAAGAAGAGACAGAGACAGTGAGACCCAATGACTTCCCAGACCCTGGTTCCAGCTTTTCCTGAAGCCCACTTAATTCCTATCCTTACATTCCTGCCCTGAGAGACATT